AGCTTCTACTCACTCCTACCTCATGACTACTCTGCCTCTAAAAACCTACAGCGAAGGAGAGGCGAAGAATCCAGTTCTTGAAAGCTTCAAGTTTCAGCACAGTTTGGCTCCGCTCCTGAAATGTTTCTGAGCTACTTTGCAGAGACCTTGCGACGCTCCCGCTACACACCGAAGCTTCAGTCCGTGTCAATTGTGGCGACTCTCCTGCCTGATGAGCTGCTCCTGGTTGGATGAGACTTCATCTCCGCTGCCATCCCCAGAGCCCATTGCACACACAGTCTTTGGCTTGAGCTCCTGGATGGAGCCTGAATGTGGATTTCTTTCCTCCTCAGTCCCACCTGGGAGCATTTGGTGTGGAGTGGCCCCATTGCCACCAGCTGATGGCCATGCCTCAGTGTTTTCCTTATAGTTCCCCCAAAAGCATATCCCTAATCAGGGTCCTGCATTGCCCTGCAGCCACCCGGAGCCCAATGGATGAGCAAAAGAAGTGGAGAGCGACAATCTGGGATTACAAAAAAAAAGACGGAGAGAGTTGGTGAAAAGAGCTGGTGAAAAACAGACGGTTTATGGTGGTCTAGACCCTTTGGCAACTGCAGCGAGGATTTTCGGTACAAAAAAAATACAAAATCCAGTTCTGGAAGCGCCCCGGTCCGCATTGCTCCTCTCCTGATGAGGCCAATTCCTGGATCCTTAACAAAACCTGCTGCTGCAGGAACCCTCCCTTGCATGGTCTGGGTTTACAGAACTACAAACACAAGCCTTTAAATCATAGACTCATTAAGGTTGGAAAGGACCTCTAAGATCATCAAGTCCAACTGTCAACCCAATACCATCATGCCTACTAAACCAAGTCCTGAAGTGCTACATCTACACGTTTTTTGAACACTTCCAGTCATGGTGATTCCACCACTTCCCTGGGCAACCTGTTCCAATGTTTGACCACTCTTTCAGTAAAGAAATTTTTCCTAATATCTAATCCGAACATCCCCTGGTGCAACTTCAGGCCATTTCCTCTTGTCCTATCGCTAGCCACCTGTGAGAAGAGACCAACACCAACCTCGCTACAGCTTCTTTCATGTAGTTGTAGAGAGCAATAAGGTGTCCCCTGAGCCTCCTTTTCTACAGGCTTAACAACCCCAGTTCCCTCAGCTGCTGCTCATAAGACTTGTGCTCCAGACCCTTCACCAGCTTTGTTGCCCTTCTTTGGACACACTCCAGCACCACAATGTCTGTCTTGTAGTGAGGAGCCCAAAACTGAACACAGTATTTGAGATGCAGCCTCACCAGCGCCAAGTACAGGAGCACAATCACTTCCCCAGTCCTGCTGGTCACCTTATTTCTGATACAAGCCAGGATGCTGTTGGCCTTCTTGGCTGGCTCATGTTCAGCTGGTTGTCAACCAGCACCCCCAGGTCTTTTTCTGCCAGGCGGCTTTCCAGCCACTCTCCCCCAAGCCTGTAGCGTTGCATGGGGTTGTTGTCATCAAAGTGCAGGACCCGGTGCTTGGCCTTGTTGAACCTCATGCTGTTGGCCTTGCCCCACTGACCCAGCCTGTCCAGATCCCTCTGCAGAGCCCTCCTACCCTCCAGCAGATCAACACTCCCACCCAGCTTGATGTCATCTGCAAACATACTTAGGGAGCACTCGACCCCCTCATCCAGATCATCGATAAAGATATTAAACAAGACTGGCCCAGAACTGAGCCGTGGGGGACACCACTGGTGACCGGCCGCCAAGTGGATTTAACTCCGTTCACCACACCTCTCTGGGCTTGGCCATCCAGCCAGTTTTTTACCCAGCGAAGAGTACACCTGTCTAAGCCATGAGCAGCCAGCTTCTCGAGGAGAATGCTGGGGGAGACAGTGTCAAAGGCCTTCCTGAAGTCCAGGTAGACAACATCCACAGCCTTTCTCTCATCCACTAGGCAGGTCACCTGGTCATAGAAGGAGATCAAGTTGGTCAAGCAGGACCTGCCTTTCATGAACCCATGCTGGCTGGGCCTGATCCCCTCATTGTCCTCCACATACCCTGTGAGCACACTCAAGATGAACTGCTCCATGATTTTCCTGGGTACCGAGGTCAGGCTGACAGGCCTCTAGTTCTCTGGATCTTCTCTCTGTCTGTTTTTGTAGATGGGTGTCATGTTGGCAAGCCTGCAGTCGTCTGGGACCTCCCCTGTTAACCAGGACTGCTGATAAATGATGGAGAGTGGGCTTGGCAAGCTCCTCTGCCAGCTCCCTCAGTACTCTCAGGTGGATCCTATCCGGCCCCATGGACTTGTGAGCGTCCAGGTGGAGTAGCTGGTCCTTGACTCCTCCTGGATTATGGGGGATGTATTCTGCTCTCTGTCCCTGTCTTCCAGCTCAGGCTGAATACCCTGAGGAGAACAGGTCTGACCATTAAAGGTTGAGGCAAAGAAGGCATTAAATACCTCAGCCTTTTCCTCATCCTTGGTGACAATGTTCCCCTCTGCATCCAATAAAGGGTGGAGATTCTCCTTGGCTCTCCTTTTGTTGTTAATGTATTTATAAAAACATTTTTTGTTATCCCTTATGACAGTGGCCAGGTTGAGTTCTAGCTGGGCTTTTGCCTTTCTAATTTTCTCTCTACATGACCTAATGAGATCCTTGTACTCTTCTTGAGTTGCCTGCCCCTTCTTCCAAAGGTGGTAAACTCTCCTTTTTTTCCTGAATGCCAGCAAAAGCTCCCTGTTCAGCCATGCCAGTCGTCTTCCCCGCCGGTTTGTCTTACGGCACATGGGGACAGCCTGCTCCTGTGCCGTTAAGACTTCCTTCTTGAAGAACGTCCAGCCTTCCTGTCCCCCTTTGCCCTTTGGGACTGCCTCCCCAGGGACCCCCTCAACCAGTGTCCTGAACAGGCCAAAGTCTGCCCTCTGGAAATCCTTGGTAGTGGTTTTGCTGATCCCCTTCCTTACTTCACCAAAAATTGAGAACTCTATCCTTTCATGGTCACTAAGCCCAAGACGGCCTCTGACCACCACAACTCCCACCAGTCCCTCTCTGTTTGTGAACAGCAGGTCTAGCGAGGCATCTCCCCTGGTAGGCTCACTTACCAGCTGTGCCAAGAAGTTATCTGCCACCCACTCCAGGAAACTCCTGCTGTGTTGCATTTCCAGCAGATATCCAGTAAGTTGAAGTCCCCCTTGAGAACAAGGGCTAGCGATTGTGAGACTTCTGCCAGCCACTTGTAGAATGCTTCATCTGCCTTTTCCTCCTGTTTAGGTGGTCTATAACAGGTTCCTAACAGGATATCTGCCTTGCTGTCCTTCCCTCTCCTCCTCACCTATAGGCACTCAACCTTGACATCACAGTCGTTGATCTCAATACAAGCGAAACTCCCTGACACATAGAGCCACCCCACTGCCTCTCCTTCCTCGCCTGCCCCTTCTGAAGAGCTTATGGCCATCCATTGCAGCATTCCAGTCGTGAGAGTCATCCCACCATGTTTCTGGGATGACAACTACCCTGCTGCACAACGGCTTCCAGCTCTTCTTGTTTGTTACCCGTGCTGCGTGCATTGGTGGAGATGCACTTAAGCCGAAGCTGGGCTGTCGGTTTTACCCCTAATGTCGATGTGCCACTCCTGGGCTCATCTCTAGTGAGCCTGGTGTTATTCCCTTCCCCCTTCCAACCTAGTTTCAAGCCCTCTCGATAAGTCCCACCAGCTCATGGGCGAGAATCCTTTTCCCTCTTAGAGACAGTGGACTTCCCTCTGCCGCCCGCAGGCCCTGTGCCGTGTACACCTCCCCATGATCCAAAAACCCCAAATTCCACTGTTGGCACCAGCCTCTGAGCTGTGTGTTAATCAGGAGCATTTTACTGTTGCTCTCAGTATTCCTCCGTGGCACTGAAGGGATTGAGGAAAACGCTGCCTGTGCCCTTGATCCTTCTACTAATCACCCCAGTGCCATGAAGTCCTTTTTAATTTCCCTACAGCCAGACGCCTGGACAGCTGCATGTTTGTGTGGGAGCTCCGTCTGGGTCGCCACGTTCACATTCCATCTGCCTACTGCTTTTAGCCCGGTGGAAACCATAGCTAGGTCTTCTTCTGGGAGGACAGTGACCACCAGCTACCCTCCGGGCCAGGACAGGGACTGCGCTCTGCCCGCATGCCGTCCCCGCACGAACTGCCGCGCTGCATCCCTCCGCCGCGCCGTGCCCTGTTTGCCTGCTCCACTTGCCGCATTCCCCGGGGAGCTGCTCTGGTATGGGAGGGGGTTTTGGCCACCATTACTCTTGTCCCTGCCCAGGCTGTGTCAGAGCTGCCACGGAAAACAGAAAAACAACCCAAACTGCATTTCCCCTATCCCCCACTATTAAGAAATTCTAATGCAAAAAATATAGGTTTCTTTGAATATATAATATATAATAGAATACATAAAAACATCTAAAAAGGCAGACTTGCTGAATTTATAGACCTTTTCTTCTTCCCTAGGCACAAGTCAGGAGGGAGGTTGAACTCAGAGAATCCAGAAGGGACCTCTATTTACCTGCTGGCTAATTATCACACTAGACCTACCAACTACCATGGGCAGAAAAAGGAAAGGGAGAGAGAGACGGAGAGAGGAAAGGGGGAGGAAATTGCACTTAGTCTATCAAGTCCTAAGCCACCAGGAATCTCATGTCTCGGATGGCATTTAGCAGGTGCTCTCTTTTAGCCCTGAAGGAACATACGTTGTTACCATTTCCACAGAAAAAAAAAATATGATCGTTCACATTTCTTCCTTTAAAAGTAAAAAAATAAGTAGTGTTATATTTCTTCGTTTGAGGAAATTCATGGACTAGAGACTTTTGATGTGTCCTTTAAAGATGTATCAAGCAGTTCCTGTAGTGCTGTTTTTTTCTCTCCTCGGTGTTTCTGTGCATAATCTTACGATGATGCTGGTGTAAGTCCCTCTGGATGTCTCTGTCCCTAGAAAATCTTGTCCCTTGTAAGTCCCAGCAGCACGGGGGGAGCATCCTCCTAAAGTGACTGGCCTCTTATAAGAGGGACGCCAGACTGCTCCAGTCGCTCACATCCACTGGCAAAGAAGCGGTGTCGAGTTCAAACAACTGCTCCATGTTGACGGAGTTGGGGAGGTAATCGTTGGTCCCTTCATCCCAGGGATGCTGCAGGAAAGAAGTGGCCACGAGGGTTTCATCAAAGTCCAGGTTGTTCTGGCTGGATTCATGGAGGACCTGCTCCTGCCCTTGGGCACAGTCTATGTGCCCGGGTGCTGCCAAGTCCACGTCGTGCAATATGAGGCTCATTGGAGGCGTGAGCTCTACATCCCCAAAAGTGGAGAAGTCTCCATTCAGGTTGGTGTCAAAGATGGCTTCCCAGTCAAAGTCACCTTTCAGCGATCCCAGCTCGATCTGCTCTTCCTGGGTCAGCAAGGCACAGCTGGAAAGCCGAGACACCTTGGCCATTCGCTGGGGTGAGGGCTGCTTGCGCTTTTGCCCTACTTTGGCACCCGCTGGATTCCAGTTCTGGTCACCAGTGACTTCTTCAAACTCTTTCAGCAACTGCTGTGACTCCATGTTGACATCGAAGATGTTATCAGAGGTGCAAGCTAAAGTGGCCAGGCTGGTGACGCACTGTGCTTCTTGCTGGGCTTTTTTGGTGAAGGCTGGGTGGATCTGCACTGGGGGTGTCCTTCGCTTTTTGAAGGCACCGTTCTTGAGCCGGTCAGCATATTGGGGGTCAAGCTTCCAAAACCCACCTTTCCCCGGCTCGCCCTTCTCCCGGGGCACCTTGATGAAGCACTTGTTCAAGGAGAGGTTGTGCCGGATGGAGTTCTAGACCCAAAAGAGGAAAAAAAACCAAGATTGAATACTTGCCTGCTGCTGCAGCACCTACCTGCACGGGGAGGCTGGTGGAAAGGCACATTTTCAGCAAAGACCTTTGGGAAAAAGCAGAAATGGCAACATCAAGACATCCCAGGCTACGTGCCCAGCAGAAACTCCCCTGCCCCGAGTCACCAGCAGTTTTCTTGCCTCCTGTCTAACCCAGCCAGGGATGGTGGGAGCCAAGGGGTTCGAGCTGGGACTTGCCAACCAACGGGAAGCTTTAGGGCAACTCTCCTTGGCTGTAAACTGGGGCCATGGGGCCTTGGATCGTGCAGAGCATTGGGAGAAACCAGCCAGGCTTGCTCTAGGCATGGAGCTCCTAAGCTGAAGGAGGTCAGGTCTCTCCTTCATGGCTAAGGACGAAGAGGGTCTTTACACTGATGTGGCCACGGCCCTGTGACAAGTGGGAACACATGGCAGCACCATGGGGGACGGCATCATCAGGGCCCTCCTTGCATCCTTCAGTTCATCTGCACCTATTTCTAGTGTTGAGGGGAAAATATTTGGCCAAAAACTTGGCACCATGCCTCCCCACAGCCAAGCTGACACAAACCAGACGGGCAAAACAGGAGAGACACGTGGGCTGTCCCACCACAGCCCTGCATGTCCCCAGAGGTGCCTCCTGGCCCGGACGAGCTCAGTGTGAAATCACTGCATCTTCATCAGCCACCGCTCAAATGAGCTGAGGGGGAAAAAAAAAAAGAAAAAAGAAAAAGAGGAGTTTCTACTCCCATCGAGCTGTTCTGAAACCCTGAATGTGCCTGGAGTGATGTGAATAATCAGAAAGGAAACTCAGTTATTGGGTAAATAACCCAGCGTTGGGCTCCACAAAGCCAAGACTGTATTAAGAGATTGGATATGGTAGAGGTTGGTTTTTTTTTTAATGTTGCCTGGATATCTTTATGCTTATTCATCCATAATCCGTAGTGTCAAATAGGAAAAACAAGACTTGAATACTTAGAGCTGTTGAAAAACATGCACACGCACACACACACACACACCAAAACCCTCCTCTGGGCTGAAGCTCCTTGGATGTGTTGGCTCCTCTCCAAAGCACTCAGCTCCCACAGGAATATATCCATCTCCCCCCGGAGTATGGGTGGCATGACCTTTCCAGGCTGTTTTCATGTACGGGAATTGGGATAGGGGATGAGAACACAGCCTATGAAAGAAAGAAAGAGAAAAGAAAGAAAGAAAGAAAGAAAGGGAAGAGAGGAGAAGAGAAGAGAAGAGAAGAGAAGAGAAGAGAAGAGAAGAGAAGAGAAGAGAAGAGAAGAGAAGAGAAGAGAAGAGAAGAGAAGAGAA